TGCACAGTAAATAAATTAATAATATGCACAGTAAATAAATTGATGGTTGTCGAATGCCTGCAACAAACAATGGGTTAGTAACAAGAGAAAAGACGAGTATGAGACGCGCGCCCACCCTCCGCGACGGTTCACGAGAAAGTGAGGAAGCTAACGCCGTGATGTATTGGGCGTACGCAGGTTTGTTCGTGTTGAATTGTTTTTGCTTACTTGAACGACCTTCCTCCTTGAACGACCCAAACACTGGATGGTACGGCCAGGTACGGCCATGGTACACGGCGTACACGGCTAGGTCAATAAACTGTGGGACGCAACGTCACTAGCGCGTTGGACCGACGGAGAGCACCGACACCGCGGCACGCTCTACCGCTCTCGCTCTCTCCCGTTCGTCCGCTCCTATCACCTTCGGCATCGTTCGGTACGCGTCGAGACCGACGGAGAGCACCGATACCGCGGCTCGCTCTACCGCTCTCGTTAATTTATGATGTTCATATTCGCCAAATAAATATCATTTTAAACTAATTTGTTTAAGCGATATGTTCCTTTTAAAGATTTAGCTCTCGAGTATAAATCCTTAAGACCGTTATTTATTATTCATTTCATATCGTTAAATACGATTTTTCTCACAGGGTACCGATTTCCATTACAGTATCACAAAATAATTGCAAATATGAAACTTCTTTACCTCTCTACTAATCTGACCAGTTGCTATATTCTTTGACACTAATTTTCAAGAATATAAAACTTCTGTATTTTACTTAATTTGAGAGACACGTAGCTGAATATTAACATACGTTCATTATTTAATTACTCGCAATAAATAAAATTTTTGTAAGTAAATAACGTGGATGTAAATCCATATGTAAAAATTTACGAATTGCCAGAAAGTAATTATTCGTGCGTATTAAGATTCTTACAATAGGCAGTAAAACTATTCATACTCCCATATAAATTATAAATTTGTAAATGTTAATAAAAGCGGTGTATATATTCTCCCACATGTAGATTTGATAAACTATTTACGAAACTACATCTATTCTGAATTTATCTGTTACAAATATACAAATGTAAGGCAAGATATAAAAAAGAATAAAACACGAACATGTAAAAAGTAACATTATTAAAATGTCCATTAACGATGCATTTAGAATAAATTGTCTTGTAGTTATGTGAAAACATATACTTTTCCGTTTCATTTTTCATGACTGTCATATTCATCCCTTAACGTTAGACTGAAGCATCGGATATTTTTATTCCCGTCAAATCATATAGATACACGCAATATGAATGGAATATGTAACACTTTATTCGTGCTAATAATACTCAGAATTCATACTTTATCGGTAACGTCGGGTATTGACATTAAAATGGTAAGGGGCTTCTGACGCCCTCGAAGCATGGAACAGAAAATTACATTGCATGTTAGGTCTATTCATATATCTCGTCTGTGGCCTTATCGCACATGAGATATAGAATGGACCTACAGTAAACCTTCGTTTCCTGCACTAGTCAGGGCTGTAGAGGACCAGAAATCCAGGAACCGTGCAGGAATCGAACACCAGTTACCCGAACGCCATTGGTACTGCCATCTAGCATAGACACATATGTCTACTAGTTGGCTAGTAGCTTAGATTTACTTTCACGGATGACGCCACCTTTCGCTTTTCTGTGTAGAAAATTTAATTTTTATTGAAATTTACGTATCTTTCGGAAATTATTTAACGTTTTTTGAATAGTAACTAGTATTTAATAATATCTTTTTACATATAATTTTTATTTTTGAAATTTATTAATGATCTGAACTCTTTGATAGTAACTAATAATTTTGTTTATTTTTATTGCAATTAAACAGGTAGTAGATAGAATATATCCATAAATTCGTAAAAATGTGAACGTATAAAAACATTTTGGATATAATCGTTAATTAGAGTACTTAAGACTTAAGATTATTTTAGACTATTGTGTGGCTACTTTTTTTTGGATGCTCTAAAAGTGTTGTCTAAAGCTTGAAATGACCACAACTGCATTAAATTATTGTCCAGAAAATTAAGAAAATCGCGAAGAAAACTGTTCGTCAGATTTTTTACTTATTGAATAAAAACACATATGTGAAAAATACTGCATGAACTTCTTTTTACAATTAAATGTTGTTTACAAGAAGTACTATTGGTTTATTGTTAATATTACAAATTTTTTTAGCTCTTTTAACGACAATGTTATCTCAATTATACAAAAAACATCTGTTACTTGGCGCAACTTTTGTGATCAATGTAAATAAATTCACGTATAACACTTGCAGCTACTTTCATTTAACCATACTTTTTTTGTGTAACCTGTCCACGTTTTAAGAACCTTCACGAAAATGTAACATCCTACCAGTCCAGATGAGATAAAGACAATCGTAATACGCGGGCCAGTAAATCATGGCGAAGCCGCAAAAGAAGAGGCAAACGCCGAAAAGACGAAAGAAGAAAGTAAAAGATCCGGAAAAAGAGGAAGAAACTAGAAAGAGAATTGCAGCGATCGAAGGAAAGAGACAAAAGGTTATAGAAGAAGTCAGACTTTCGTTGCTTCAAAGAAGAAGGGACAAAATTGGGCTAGAACGAGATCGGCAGGAGAAAGAAGAGAGAGCTCGTGAAAAAGAAAGAAGAGATGCTGCGAAGACAGGAAGTGAAAGAACGATGTTAGAGGTTTCCGAACAAGATTACATACACTGTCAACAGTACTTTGTTTAACACTATTTCAATAACTCTTATTTCGTCCGATTCTTCTTAAGTCACGAACGTGTACGGTAGAACACCTCGACTGTACAATAATGCAATATCCACAAAAGTACAAATGCTTTAATTCTTCTTCTGGTCCCAAAAGTTCTCCTAATATAATAATTAGACTGCGGATATTTATAGAAAATCAAATTTTTATCGACTGTCAGAAACAAAGCTTAAATATAAATTGATTTTCTTGAACAAGAGTTTCATCGATATTCTCGCATCTTTTTGTTACAGTCTATAAAATGCATTAATTTTAGTATTAATTAAACCAATTACCTAGTTCCACGTATTTTCTACACGATATAGATTCGCGAGGACCTGAGTAGAGTCGTGGAGACAGGAATAAAATGCGTGTACACCTCCGTAATTATACCCAATAAGATAAAATACGATGGCAAATCGACTTTATCGATTAAAGGCGTCAAGTACAAAGTGAAGAAAAACTTGCATATAGTGGGATGGGGTAAGGAAGCAGTAACGATGAGCGCTGCGTTCGAACGTATTATCGGCAGACAATTGAAAAGAGGATGGGTGGTCGTGCCACGTAAATCAATTTTCATGATGTGGAGTTTTCCGGAAGCGTTTCCAAAGTTAGACAGCGCTATCTCCTACGTCGAAGCCGGCACTGACGGACAACCAGACGAGAAGTCCGTCACGATGACTAGGAGGATTATAAACTACTGCAAAAAGTTGAAAAGGAAGGATCTGTTGATAGTTATGCTCTCGCACGGAATCGATGATCTCCTGTGTTGCCCGCGGGAAGAGATCACATTGAGGGATAAACTTCGTGTAATAAACAGGTTGAAGGCGGCCCAAGCAACTCCCGATGAAATAAACACTGTGAGAAACAAGCTGTCTACAATTAGAGGTAACACATTAAACCTTCTATTCCAATATACTGTATTAATGAAAAGTGAATTCTGTAAAAAAATATTTTACAGAAGTAGAAAACAGGTTTTAGTAGGGTTCACGGAAATTTGTCATTGTTAAGCAATTAATCTAATAATCAAAAGACCCCAACTTCAACTTTAACGCGGTTTCCAATATTAGGTGTAGACACTCGATAATTTTTAAGATATAAACAATTAAAGTCGTGAAGCTTCGAGATGTATTGTGGATATAAGTCGAAGTTATCGAAGTTGCGTTGGCAAAGTAAAAGAAAAAGTTTTCGAATAGGAATCGATCCTAGGACCTACAATTTACATTAACTTACATTTATAATATATCTTGAAGATACGTAACATTATTATTTATATCGTTGAAATTATCGAGCGTCTACACCTAATATTTCACACATATCATTAGGAACCTATATAAACTGCGTTGCTCAGAAGAAGTGCAGCGAAACGGTACACGAGTAAAAGGGACACTTCGCTCGCACTGAGTCACCTCAAGTCGTTCATCACGCTGATTAGTCGATGTCATCGCGTCGGACAATAAGGACAATACGTGTGCCCAATATCCTACAGTTGTGTTAATGAAAGTGGACTTAGAGGGATATAACCAATCGGACTCGTATACCGTCCGCTGGATTTCTTTCGAGCACTTTACTACCATCTTAAAAAACTTCGTTAAAATGAAAGTCGTATAGTTGTACTTCTTTCGTCGTGAACGATATTTTAACTACCTCCGATGGTTTCTTCACCTTGTACTCCAGATTATCTATACATAACAATTACACTACGTGAGAGCTACACAAATGACACTGAAAAATAAATGAACACAGGTGGCGATCTAGCACGGTTCGCCTATCCAGCTCGAGTGATCGTTCTAATCACCTCGGACGTTTCCGCGGAGCCAATGACTCAACTGTCCGGTGGTCCATGCGTGTACGATCCGAAGGACGATACAGCTTTGCAGATCATGACGAAGTACGGAATCTTCGAGCGTTTGCCGCAGAGCGTGAGGGAACTCCTGGAGGAGACTATACCCTGGACAATGGTCGCGGACAAGCAAGTAACCGAGAGCAAAAAATACAAGTTCGTCCACGAGTATGTGGTAGCGTGCAACGCAGACGCCATGGAATGCATGGCCGTGGAGGTGTTCAAATTAGGTTTGTTCCCCGTGAAGCTGAACTCCACCTGTTTCGGCGAGGTTCAAGAGTTCGCGCGCGAGTACGTGAAGATCACTTCGTTGATGATATTGGCGGTCGAGGGGAAAATCAATCAATTGGACATGTATCAAGAAATGAAGGAGAGCCCTGTCTGTCCCCTGACCGACAAAAAGGTGCACGAAATATTCCCGGCGAAAGACAAATGGGGCCTAGGTCTGTGCCTTCTGCTTGGCGGCCGGCAGACTGTCAATCTTTGCGCGGAGCCTGGAAAGGGCGGACCCAATCAGGAGCTCGCTCTATACTTTTCATTATATTGGTATATGCGTACCGAGCAGTTTCCAATTTTGAGAGAGTACACCGTCTGGTTCCTGGGCGGCAGCTCTCACGGCAAAGACGGCAATACCAGCGCAGCTGGCGCTTTCGGTTATAAGAGCCTGGGTACCGATGTTTATCCGAAATACGAAAAAGCGCTCGGCGAATACAACACCGCTTATGCAAACTGGTGGAAACTTAAGGAGGATAAACAAAACCAGTTTGCGATCGAGGTAAAAATTCCAGGATGATACGTTTTACGCGGGGTTTGTGGACGATGGGCGGGGATTTATAAGGTTACTTTGGAAGAGTAGTAAAATTAATAATCTTTATTAATTTTACTACTCTTCTAATCTACTAATAATTTTTCATTCATAAAAGTTTTTATGATAAATTCTGTACGTATACCAATTGCATAATAAATGTAAATCATCCAACCATTTCCTTTACAGCGAGCCTACAATGTGATGAAGGACCACGAAGCAACGAGAAATAAATTTAAGGATATTATCCCTAAACACAGCTTAGAAAAAAATGACACGAACACAATGTTCATAAGCATTAACGACGAAGATGAATTGCTCGAATTGAAAACCGGGAATTATTACACTTTCACAGACGTCGGGGATCTTCATATCATACGAATCGTCAAATTCCAATGTAATTGCGATGGCATCTGCCATGGGCACATCGAAAGGACCTGCATTGATAAGGAATGTCCCGTCAATGTAACAATGTCAGCGGAAACAAACTTAAAATCGCAATACTGTTGTCAAATGGGTAGACTGATAGAAAAACTATGAGATTAAAAACACGTAAATTAGTAAATGAAACAATTTTACAAATCTTTTTTGTAAAATATAAAAGATCCGTTAAACAAACAAAAAATACTATATATAAAGATCATGTGATAAAACTTGAAGATAATAACAGAATATTAATAAATCACTCGTGTGAAATCTTTTTAAGATCCATATGCAAACTGTGTAATCCTTGTACAAATTCATATTTTCATAGAGACTCTACGAAAGCCAGAATGTGTAAAAAGTTTACTTCATCTCTCAAGGCATTGTCCGATTATTCTTAAAATAAACTAGGAACCAATAATATTGAAGTTATGTCCTGCAATAAATAAAACTGAAACTTTTATAGAATTAACTACAGACTTGGGGTGAACATCCAACATCACCCACACCCGGTGACCCTGAACTTGACATATGTTATCAAGGTCACCCTCCAAGTAACCTTTAAAAGATTTCAATCGCCGATCATTTGTTATTGAAAAGTTATTAACAAAGAAAGATTGAAAAACATATCGTAATTTTCTCAGATATGTGAACTTTTAAAATTTCTATCTGATCAGTATATTGCTTCAGAGAACTTCTTAAAGACATTTCAAGAAAGAAGGTCATTCAGAGTTGGTTAGAGACAGTTCGAGAAAAAAATTAATTTTGATAACATATATCAAGGCCAGGATTATCTTGTGTGGGTACTTTTCGGAAGTTTATCCCAAACTTGTTTTCCTTTTTCTCAAGCCAAACCAATCATGGGGGTAGAAACTTACTATTTATTTAATTGGTTTATAAACATTCGACCTTGCTTAAACACCCGCAAGATATTGATATTCTTCGTGTTTATATTCGACTTCGGATGAAACTGGAATAGGGTGAAACTACTTCGAATCTGAATCAAGAAGTATTAATATCCACTCCGACTTCCTAGGTCGGTTATACAGCACCGCAAGAATTATACAGATTTACCGTTGCGTGAAACTTCAATCAAGGCGGTCTGCTGAAGGGAATCTTCCAACTTCATCGTTTAAACTTGTCGATACGTCCGGGGGGGGGGGCGAAATGATGTCTATTGAACGTTCGGTTTTTCCACAAGGAATGAATGGAACGAAAATCCCAAGAAGCTCATTTTGCTCTTTCTTAACGTAATAGAGATCTTCTAGGGCAGCGTCTCCCATGGGTTCGGTACCAATATTGTTCAACAAAGCCGCGGGAATGGAGCCGGCCAGCTCAATGACACCTCCTTCGTATAGTGCGCTCCTCACTACGTTCTTTTTAGCATTCCTTTCTGTCTAAACTGAAAATATCCCTCGAGACCGTCCACTTGTGTGCGTCTAACATCTTGAAATTTTATTTCGTCGACATCCGTCGTATTTTTCAACGAAATTTAAACCTTTTCACGTATGTGTCAGTGAAAACATTTTTTTTTAAATATGTAATAATAACTTTCACGCCAACTAAGGAATAGTCAAGTTTGATTATTTTAGAGGATATTTCAAATATTTGAAATAAATAAATTGGACAATATTATACTCTAATAATGTATTAAAACACTTTGTTACCCACTGACTAGTGTCTTCTTTCGTTTTTCCGGTCCACTAATCAAACAACACGGTGTACACGATCGCATCGATTACACTGGAAACACTCTCCGTTCAACATCAATCAAACGATAACATCGTGAGACGAGACGAATTATCGTTCCCTCCTCGTACGAAGAAAACGTTCCCGTAGGTAAGAATGTATGAAGTACGAGGTGCATAATGATCCACGAAATCTTGATTAAGCATAAAGCGAGGTATATTTCACCTGACGGCGTAGGGGAGGTAGGAGGCTAAAGTAGCCGAGAGGAGGTATCATCGTACATTTGCATGTCTCTCTGCAGAGAAGCCACGACTAAATATGCACCGCTCGTTACTCAACCAACCACCACGCACCGTTGGCGAACCTCCGCGAGTTGGTACCGTGCTCACACGCACTGCGCCCCGTGTTACACGATTCCGTGTTGAGCCGCCTTAATTCATGGCGTTTTTATTACTCCCCGGGCCTGACGTTTATCGCACGAAATTATATGCGATTGTTTTTTCCCTTCTTTTAATTCCCCTCCTCCCTACCCTTCCACTGTCGCGTGATACTCTCGCGCGAGCGTGGATCCAGCATGCAGAGCCAGTCGATGCGGGGAAAGTCAACGCGTAATAAGCTTTGATGACCATAACCCAACCCTTTCGGTTCAGAGTAACGAACCTGTATTACCTTTTTTGTTTTTAAGTGAAATTCGTAAGTTACCTGAACAGGATCGATTCAAGGGGTTGAAAGTGATGGCTAAATATTTCGATGAAAACTGAACTGGTATTAGAGTGAATGTTAAATAATTGAGTACTATGATCGACTTTTGGTCTACGATGACGACCGGTCCTGATATCAATTACAACGTTCAACGAATTTTAACATTTTTTCGGACTTCTAACATTCGATAGCCTTTGTTTGTACATTTTTGTGCCCTGAATGCGGATCTGTAAACGGTTTTTAGCCAATACCCTTAGTTTTCGAGAAATTTGATTTTTTAAAAATGCAACTTTTCAAGTTGAATAGTAATACTTATTCGGTTGATTATTGAGTCAAATTATTTTATCAACTCTCCCGTATAAAATGGTATATATTGTTGTTGAATTATGAACATTTACACGTGTTTAAACAACGATCAAATTCGTCCTTAGCATTCAAAGTATTAACAAACTGTTGATTAAGTTGATCCGCTGATTTAGAGATTTGTTAAATTGATTCGAAAGCAATGAGATATACGTTCAGCTTCAAGACGCTTCTAAACTTGTATAAATAACTCGAAGCTATGATACGCTTAAAAACTGTGATTTGTGAGACGTTAACACATGCTGAGAGATATTCGAACGGTTGTGAATAATTTATGAAGTTCGTCCATTCGTTCGAAGTCGTGAAATGTGACCTACACTTTGAAGATGCTACGTGTCGGTCGATGTAACTTAAATAACTTGTATCGTTCTAGATTTGTAATAAAGTTCTCGAAATTTCAGAAAATATTGATCGATGTTTAATATACTCAAAACAGAAATGGAACACGCAGGAAACGCGCGTTTTCCACGTGGAATAATAAAATAAAATATACTGCTATGCGTAAAGATTGGACAATTTGTTGTCATGTATGTAATAGATAGAGAACGACAACTGTAATTATTAAAGTGACCCCACTGAATCGGTTATTTAATATACATTTTACATTGATTGTGTTCTATATGGATACGAATAATTTTGAATAAGTGCTCGAACTGTATTGTTCTGTGTTTTTTTGGTGTTGTAGTTATTGTAAACACGAGTATATAAAAGTATTACCTGCAGTTTTACACGTAAAGGCAATTGTTTGTGATTCACGGTAACTGTTAACGCGATTACTGTTAATAATCCCACGCAATTTATTGTAGCAGCTATTCAGCAAATAATAACGATTAGCATACGGTACGCGCGTGAAAATCCCGTAATTGCATTCGTTAAATGCATTCGCAGAATCCCATAGGGGCTGACCGCTCGCATTACTTGGCTTGTCCGCTTATAAATGCTCGCAGTGTTTCAATGTCTAAAATTAAAAAAGAAAAAATTTCAGTGATCATTGGGCATTAGATGAATGAATCAATGAATTTGGATATCGTGAAATATAACTGACAACAGTTGTCTACACAGAAATAACATAATAAGAAACTGTATAGAAATAAAAAAGAAATAGTTGCAGTAGCATTTGTAAAAATTGAATTATCAAATACACTCTCGTAAATATAATAGTGTATAAAGTGATTTTATTTTCTTATTATTTAATATTCAATCATTCCTGTTTTTAGTAATAAGAAATAATGTTATTTGTTTATTACATTATATGCGTCAAGATTCTGTAAATTTCGACGAACCTGTTGTTTTCGTTTGATTCATTAAAACAAATACGTTCTCTTTATCTTTTTTGTTAGTACCACGAATATGTATCGATTACAGAGTTATTCCTGTCTCCGTATGTGAACGCAGCCTAATTTTTTGCGCCGATCCAGTTATCGATTTGTACTTTGGAAAGTTCTATTGATATTAGTCTGGCCAGTTGACCCAAGTTAAGCGAAATGCAATTGTTCGAACCTAGGTCAGCAGTTTCGGATGTCCTGGATTGCTTAAACTCTTGAGAAAACAAACTGATCCTTCGTTTCTGCGAGGTGGATTTCAAAGGGTCCACTCTGCGTAATCCTAGTACACATCACGAAATTTACGACTTCCGTTTCAGCAATTACCCTTCGTGTTTGCTTAAAAATTATCCATTTCAGAAAATTGCATTCCCTTCTTTTGCGATAATAAGATATACAATAAAAATAATTCACGTAGGCTAATGGAATCAGCGTTTTTACTACTCATAACCGTTTGATAATACGCGAATACAATTAAATATACACGAAGTATATAATATTTTTCAAAATACTAAATTCGAAGAACGAAATCTTTAAAACTGAAAAATCTATGGTTAAGACTTGAATATTTCAGACATAAATACTACACTTCATCTTAAACATAAATCATTTAACGTTGGAAGGCAGTACAGATACTTTTGTTCAAAATTATTATTATCTCTTTTAAATATACGTGTCACCATAAAGCAGTCATCATTCGATTCGATACCATTCCAGTACACGATACAAGTATGTATACATATATCGTTTCTATCAACATTTCTGCCATTCGATGAAAAAAGTTATCGCAGTCTTGTCACATCAAAATGCACAATACTTCTCAGCAATATACTTCGGAGATTATTAATGTCACACGAATGAAATTAGAATTGGTGGCAGGGCAGGTGCAAACAATACGGTAAAAAATTCGATCCTACCAATTGGAATCCCATATGGAAGAACGAAAAAAAAGTCTCGAAAATGCCCACGTTCCGTAGGATGCTGGACACAGCTTTTGAAGTATACACCGCGCGTTAATCGCGGCACGCATCTGAGTAGTCC